AAACGCCGGAGTCCACGTAGCGCTATGGTTTCGGGCTTCCAAAACAAAATCCTGTGCATTCTTACATTTTATATCTCGAACAAAAGGCTGCAGAAAACAATAAGTGATATTTTCCTGTTTAACCTCTCACAAAAGTTTTGGTCATCCAGTTAGAACATTTGGAAATGGTTTACTTTGTTTCACGGCATCAAATCCTAAAGAAAATTATGTAGAACCTTTTCCCTTTGTTATGAATGTCAAATAAGCATTGATTTCTCAGAAATGCTGTTTTTTTGGCACTCGATAATTTATATATTCTGTATTCATCGATCGTGTATTGTGATTGACAATGCTTATGATAAAAATGTGAGCACCCTGACTTGACAAAAGAACCCTTCAACCTCGTTACTAATCTCTCGTATCTTCTCAACGGCAAAGGACATACAGGAGAAAGACTAATCTCTCTCTTTCTCTGTTTGAATTAAGGGAGCTACGTCACGACTCTCGCACGTGTGGTAAGAATCGAGAAACCAGTGACATCCACGGGCCGTACGTAGCCATTCACGTCGAGTTTCAAACAGCCCGTTAAATCATGGAATGTTGCGATCGCATTATTGAGACTATTTATTTGGTGTTTTTTTGGGTTTAATATGTTACTGATTCGTAGATTCTACGATTTATGTCTTCAAGTCTTCCTTTGGTGTTGCAAACTTGAAAGCATGGACTTTTCTTGCGTAGAGGCAAGGAAGTGAGAAGGACAAAATATGGAAGAAGGACTTTTTCCTTTACAAATCTCTATTAATGCAAGTATATTTTGGCAAATTAAAGAAATGTTGAATTGTAATTATCTCGCATCACATCCAACAGTTTGTGACCAAATTCCCTTGAGCCGTAAACTTTTACCGCTGCGCGCACTGCTTCTTGGTAAACACGATTACGAACAATAGCGATTTGACGCCTACAAGTGTGAAACTGGAAGAACTCAGTGCACAAACTCAGCGTGGCATAGCCCCTTTAAACTTTAATTGGCCATTTTTAAGGTTACTTACATCTATTTGTTTTTAATGTACTATTTTAGGGTAAAGGTACTTCAAAAAAAAGTTCCTTGAATACATCCAGCACGTCCATTCGACTAATATCGTCTGAGATGTCTATGAATGTAACAATGGTTTTTTTTTCCTCGTGTATACTTTGAGTTTAATTCCCTCTTCAATTGTTACGTTAGTATCTCGTGAAATTTGTTTTTCATATCCTTTGCGATTTTTATAATATCTCGGGTACTTTTTTGAGATTGATCTTCTGTGCAATGGTTACGTAAGAATCTAACGCATTTTAACTTTGATCGCCTCTACGGTTGATACGTTAATATTCTGCGCACTTCGAGTTTGATCATCTCTGCGATTGTTACGTCACTATCTCGTGCATTTTGAGATTCACCTTCTCTAAGTTTTCTTGTAATTTTCTCGTACACTTTGGTTTTGTTCTTCTCTACAATTTTTACGTTACTGTCTCGTGCACTATGAGTTTGATTCTCTCTGTGCTTGTTACTTTAGTATCTTGCGCTCTTTCAGTTTGATCGTCTTTGTGATTGTTAAGTACTAGTAGGTATCTCGCGCACTTTGTGTTTGATCCTCGCTGTGGTTGTTATGTCAGTGTCTCGTGCACTTTGAGTTTGATCCGCTTTGCGATTGTTACGTAAGTGTCTCGCTCATTTCGTGTTTGATCTTCGATGCGATTATCATAGTAGTGTCTCGCGCACTTTGTGTTTGATCCTCGCTGTGATTGTTATGTCAGTGTCTCGTGCACTTTGAGTTTGATCCGCTCTGCGATTGTTACGTTAGTGTCTCGCTCACTTTGTGTTTGATCTTCAGTGCGATTGTCATAGTAGTGTCTCGTGCATTTTGTGTTTGATCCTCACTGGGATTATTATGTCAGTGTCTCGTGCACTTTGTGTTTGATCCTCTCTGCGATTGTTACGTT